ATATATATGCATATATATATATAATATATATATATAGGTGTATATATATATATATATATGCACACGGCACAGCAGCAATTAATTAAACTGCCGCTGCACTTTAATTAATTGCTGCAGCACTGTATTCAAAACCAAATAAAACAAACAAAGCCCTCATAACAAACAAATACCGAAATATCTCTTCCGATAGACTTCTAGGGTTTAGGGTTTAGGGTGTAGAGTTTTGGGGTTTTAGGGTTTAGGGTTTTATAGTTTAGCGTAATGGTTTTGAGAGGTAGTTTAGTGTTTAGGGTTTAGGGTTTAGGGTTTAGGGTTTAGGGTCTAAGAGTGTTATTGCTATTGAAAGTCAAGCATAACGAGTAAAGATATAATAATTGGCAAAAGAATGAAGATTGATTATTTTGTTTTATTTTATTTTATTTTATTTTATTTGTTTTTTTTTGTTTCGGGTGTACATGCAGCTCTCTATTTGTTGCGGTGTATAGGCAGCTGCCTGCATGCATGCAGGCGCAGCCGACAGCAGCATATTTGAGTTTGTATGGGAGGAAATAAAAAATAAAATCAATTAAACAATTCTACTTAATATTTATTTATTATTTTCTTCTTTCTTGGCGCTACCTTTATCTGCACTTATTTCTGTTTCTTCTCTCTACCCTTCTCTGCGTCTTTTCGGTGTTTAGGGTTTAGGGTTTAGGGTTTAGGGTTTGGGGTCTAGGGTTTAGGGTTTTACTCGTCCTCTCTTCATTCCATGTCAAAACCGTTGCTAGATTCGCAGGAGACTGCACTCAGCAGCAGCAGCAGCAGCAGCAGCAGCACCTGCAGCAGCAAAGCAAACAACAGCAGCAACAACTGAAGCAACAGCAGCAGCAACAGCACCGGCTGCAGCGGCAGCAGCAGCAACAGCCTCTGCTGCGGCTGTAGCAGCTAAAGCTGCAGAAGCCCCCCACAGCAGCAGCAGCAGCTGCAGCAGCAGCGACAGCAGCAGCGACAGGAGCAGCAGCAGCAGCAGCAGATGCACCTTCAAGATGAGTTTGTGGGTTCGGGTGTATCGACAGCTGCGTGAAGCAATTGGGCGGATCTGCCGCCGTTTGCTGCAGCGAGCAGCAGCAGCAGGCGCTCTGCTGCTGTTTTGCTGCTGCTGCATGTACATTCATTTGAAGAATGTCATAGAGAGTCTACCGCAGCAAGAAGAGCAGCAGCAGCATCATCATGTGCAGCGATTGCTGCATCAACTGCAGCAGCAGCTGCTGCACCGAGATGCAGGATCTGTGCTGCTGGGCCTTGTACGCAGCTTGCGGTTGCTGCTAACACCGCTGCTGCAGCTGCTGTCTATTATAGGGGCACTGCTAATAGATATTTGCTGCTTGTTGCTGCTCTGGATGAAGTTTGTGCTTCCAGTTGTATATCCTGCTGCAGCATGGAGTGTTCAGGTGTATGCGCAGCTGCAGCCGCAGCAGCAGCTGCTGCTAGCAGCAGCAGCAGCAGCACTACCGCTGTCTTATTGCTTTTCTATCAGCACTCGCTTGCAGCGCATGAAGGCAGCAGCAGCAGCAGCATATGCTTCGTTTATATCTTCAGTTGCTGCTGGAGCTCCGCTAGCTGTTTCTTTGCTGCTGCATTGCTGCTGCTGTTTGCTGCTCGGCAGCAGCAGAGTGAAGTACTGCGTTGCTGCGCTGTGGCTGCCGCTACCGCTCGTGGGCACCGCTTTGTTTGCTTCATTAAACTTAAATATATTTTCTGCTCTTCTTGCTGCTCCTGATGATGCTGCTGCTGCTGCTGCTGCTGTTAACGACGCTCCTGCGGCTGTGGCTGCTGCTGCTGCGGCTGCTGCTGATTCGGATGATGCCCCAGACGATGCAGCAGCAGCAGCGGAAGCAGCATCAGCAAAAGCAGCAGCAGATGCAGCAGCAGCAGATGCAGCAGCAGCAGCAGCAGCAGCAATTAGAACAGAGAAGAGACTCCGATCTATTCGATCGCTCACCTGTTGGCTTATGCTGTGGTTCTTCCAAGGTCTGCTGCTTGCTGCTGCTGCTGCTGCTGCTGCTGCTGCTGCAAGTTTGCTGCTGCTGCTGCTGCTGCTGCTGCTGTTACCTCTACTTACGTGTTGCTACTTCTGCTGCTTTGTTGCTGCTGTGGCTGCTGCGGTTGTGGTGGTGCTGCTGCTGTTACTTTGCTTTTGCTGCTGTTGGCGTTTTGCTGCTGCTGCTGCCGCTTTTTGCTGCTGCTGCTGCTGCTGTTGAATCTGCTTCTGCAGTTTATGCATGCGTTGTGTATCTTTTGCTGCAGGTCTAAGTGGCTTGGCGACAGGTTTGCTGCTGCTGCTGCCGCTGCCTGCTGCTGCTGCAGAGGTAGTAGCAGCAGCACCGCTGCATGCGTTTCTGCTGCTGCTGCTGCTGGGGCTGCTGACCGGAGGCAGCAGCAGCGTGCTGCTGTTTGTATGGGGGCAGAAGGCTATTGCTGCTGCTGCTGCTGTTATACGGTTTTTGCTGCGGCGTTTGCTTGGCGTGGATGTGCTGGTGCAGCAGCAGCAGCAGCAGCAGGAGAAGCACAAGCAGCAGCTGCTTCTGCTGGCAGAGCAGCAGCAGCAAACCCTTGCAGCTGCAGCAGCAGCAGCAGCAACAATCGCAGGCAGCAGCAAACCCCCAGCAGCAACGCTGCAGCTAGCTGCTGCTTTCAGGCTTAATAAAGCAGATTTGCTGCTGCTGCACTGCTTGCAAGGCTATTCCCCGCTAGACGAGCTGCGGCAGCAGCAGCAGCAGCAAGCAGCAGCAGCAACAGGCAGCAGATCGCTGCTCCATAGACTCAGCTCGGTAGCTGCTGCAGCACTCGGAGGAGCATCCACTGCCAGCAGCAGCAGCAGCAGCAGCAGCAGCAGCAATCGGAGAAGCACCAGCGAGGCAGCAGCAGCAGCAGCAGCAGTGGGGAGCAGCAGCAGCTTCATGGGTTCAGCGCTTCCCTTTAAGCGAGTTAATTTGCTGCTGCAGCAGCTGCTGCTGCAGCTGCTGCAGCGTTTGGGGTTAACGCTGTCTCCAGGTTTTATTCAAGCAGCAGCAATCGGCGTTTGCTATGCACCGGAGCTGCTGCTGCTGCTGCTTCCTTCTTTTATTTTAAATTTGGTGCTGCTGCTGCTGCTGCGGGTGCTGCCGCTTGTAGGAGCGCTGCTGTGTTTGCTGCAGCAGCGCGGAGTATCTTCCCGGCTATATTGGCTTTGCTTCTTCTTCTTTGCTGCTGCTGCTGAAGCTGTTAATTCTGCTATCAATGAGCATGTGCTGCTGCGGCTGCTGCCGCTGCAGCAGACAAGACTGCTGCTGCTGCTGTGGGGTGTACAGACAGCAGCACATTTACTCTCTATTAACGCAACACTACAACCCCAAGACATACCCTTCAGCCTGCTGCTGCAGCAGCAGCAGCAGCTTCAGCTGCAGCAGCAGAAAATGCAGCAGCAGCAACTGCAGCGGCAAATCCACCCCAAGTCTCCCACACATAGCAGCAGCAGCAGCAGCAGCAGCAGCACCAGGAGGAGACGCTGATAGGTTGAGTCTAGTTTG